CAACGACACGCTACTACACATCATAGAAATATACTAAGTGACATATAAATCCGAACACCCAGTTTAAATGGTTTTATTTTAATAAAAGTTGGTGAATGTATTTATCTTACTGTAAATAACAAGTGAAAAAATGTTCAGCCTTATCAGTTGGACATTCCGGTTTTTATACTGCTTTTTTTTAATTCGCTAACGCTCTAAAAATGAATATTTCAGCCGCAGTAAAGAATCAACGTTGGCGGATTTTGGTTCTTGACATCCTTTACGATCGGTTACGATGCCTAGAGTACGGAGACCTGTACGATTTCGTCAACTTAGTGAGTTTGATAGGGGCCGTATAGTGGGACTTCGGGAAGCTGGACTTTCTTTTCAGGCGGTTGCAGTTAGAGTGCAAAGAAGTGTAGACACTGTGGTTAGGTGGTGTCAGGCATGGCTTCGAGAAGGCCGTACGCAAAGAGCAAGGGGCACTGGACGCTGCCGTAGAACAACAGACCGTGAAGATCGCCGCCTAAGATTATTGGCCTTAAGGGACCGTTTCTCCACTACCAGGTCCATTGCAAATGAATCGTTTGCAGAACACGGAAGACCTATTGGCATGCGAAGTGTTTACCGACGAATGAGAAGTTTTCGCTTGTTTTCAGACCGGCCACACTGGGTCCTCCGTTTAACTCGAGAACACCGACGTAATCGCCTTGAGTGGTGCAGACAACGGTCACTCTGGGATCAGGAATGGAACAGTATTGTCTTTAGTGACGAGTCTCGATTTTGTTTAGGCATGCACGATGGTCGTGCCAGGGTTAGAAGGCGACGTGGTGAAAGGAGGAATCCACAGTTTTTTGTTGAAAGACATGTTCATCACACTGTTAGAGTTATGGTTTGGGGTGCTATAGCTTATGGTTCCAGGTCACCTTTAATCTTCATCAGAGGTAACATGAACGCGCAGCGTTATACCCACGAAGCTCTAGAACCCCATCTTTTACCCTATCTTGACACCCTGGCAGATCCAACTTTCCAACAAGATAATGCCCGACCACATGTTGCAAGAGTCACAATAGACTTCTTTCAACATAATGGTGTCACATTGATACCATGGCCACCAAGATCTCCCGACTTATCCCCAATTGAGCACGTGTGGGATATGATGGGTAAGAGATTGCTCAATTTGCAACGTCCTCCTCAGACTCTAGAAGCACTTCGAGAGGAGTTGGTGGTTGCCTGGAATGAGATACCACAGGAGGACATTGACCACCTGATCAGAAGCATGCCTAGGCGCGTTGGAGAATGCGTAGCACATCAGGGTGCATCCACACATTATTAAAGGTCAAAGGGCTTTAAAGCAGTGCAATCATTTTGAAACTTTTATCATTTACTTATTATGCTTCATTAAGTACTTAAGTAAAATTTTATTAAAATAAAACCATTTAAACTGGGTATTCGGATTTATATGTCAGTATAATATGTTGTGCGGTATAAAGAAGATAACATTCGATTAAGTTCAGGAACAAACAATTTCTTGTTTCGATTTTCATATTTTTATTTCATGACAACGGGTTGCAGCGTATTTTTCAAATTTTAAGTTGATATGAAGATGATGACTTGCGGTACCTGGATTAGGCACCTGTCAGGTTTATGATAATGGGCATTCATGGTAGGGGTTTATGAAAACCTGTAACGATTACTTTTACATAATTTCTCGCTAAAATCGTTTACTTTGTTCATCAAAATAGTACAATTGTTGTAAACATTTGATATGTAGTTAATCCAGGTATCGGCTGTCATTAGATTTGAATCACCTTGCATAAGAGGTATTCCTAATCTTATCCTTTTACTGCTCTGCACTCGCTGACATTATTGTTCTCATCATAGGAGGTACGATATCGATGATTCAAATTGATTATAAATCGGAAAAATCGTACGAAAAGATCAATAGCCCGACCAACTCTTTCCATTTCTATGATGTGTAGCATATCGTTGGAAAAGGCAATAAATCACAGAAGTGAAGAAATTGTTGATGTAAAACTAGTATTATGTCAGGTCCACTTGTAAGATGCACTTTAGTCCTGAGTACAGACTGAGATTTTGGAGATAAATCGTAGGCTTGCTCCTTCTGCCTCGGCTGAAGTGACTGAAATCCCTTCACATGGATTTTCTTTTACCTAAACTTTGCCTTCCCTGAACCGCCCGCCCACTCATTAAACTGCGATCCCGATATCAACTTATCTGAGTATGCCTCCTGCAATATCCAGTATCCACATTACGTTGCTTGGGATGTGAGTTACTCCTTCCCTCGACGACACTAAAAAATCACTTCAGAAAACAAGTACATTTTCGAAAAATACAAACAATCCGATTGAAGGAACTAAAAGGAATGGAGATTCAATTGTGTAAGTAGTAGTCAGGTTGAGATTTTTTATATAAATTCGTAATTTTGTTTTCATTGAATTTTATTAGAGCTACTGTCACTCGCACTGCTAAGGCGAATCCAACAACACCTCATAGGAAAATCCTTCAAGCCGTTTAAGCTGTAGCTTGTGAACAAGGAATCTCCAGGTTGATTTTTTTACAAAAATCTACCATTTTAGTTCCATAAAATTTTAATATAGCCATTTTACTAGCACTACTAAGACGAATCGAATGAAACCTGATAAATATGTCAAAATCCATCAAGCCGTGAAATATAATTTTTTGATACTCAGATACCCACGCCTAAAAACATTCCTCCTGAGGCAGTCGGGTAATTACTCATAAAAGATGCTACAGACTTCAACTTTGGACTGAAGCTAAAAGAAAGGTCTCCCATTTGTACACAAACGTTGGCGGATGATACTGCGTTGAACGCTTAGTAATTGCCACACCGCATAGAACAACAAGAAATAACATACCAGATGTTACTTACCTCTGATATTTAGAACACTTTATTAATAAACTTCCCTTAGCGCCATAGCTTATATGTAGCATTCGCAGTACTTCTGTATTCATGCTTTGAGTATACAAAGGAGTTAAAGGGGCACTGAAAATCTTGACATTTGCAGGTCGCTTAAAATTTCTATCACAATGCTTCTGAGATCGTTGACTCATAATTAACAAAACTCTGCAAGGTCCATGAAATTAACTTCTTTGTTGTATATTGCATCTTTATTTTCCGCCAATTTCTCTATGAAGATACATTTAACCAGAAATGCCCCGTTGACTATTTCAACGCCGATGGCATCCTTGGAAGGGGGATGATTCATCCCTTCCGCTAAGAAAGCGAGCCGAAGCCACCCCAGGAAGAAACTTTACGACTCGGAAGTGAGTCGTATATGGATCTGGTATAAAATATAACACATAACAATAACCACCCCCGCTAATTTTGCCGATCGCCCCTTCTAGTTCGAAGACGGCAAAAACACTCCGCATTGCTTTATCGATGGCAGCAAATCGAAACTACCATGGACGGGGTTGAGTGTGTCTTGCACTGTATTATTATTTGTGCTACTATCATATATTCTATATCTATCCAATTAGCTACTTTTGAGGGTGAAAAAGCCAACCACATTGGAACTAAAATGGGGCCATTCAGAACTACACTATCTACTGTGATGGTTACATTACAGTCCGTGATTCCAGTTTTCCTCAAACGAGTTTAGAACCGTTTCCGAATTTAGCCTTGACAGTTCTTGACAAAAATGACAAAGGCCATACTAATCCCATGTGCAGTAAGAGAACCGATAGGGCCGACCCTGAACCAATTCTGAACCAATTAGATACGATTCACAAAATGTTAAAAGGAAAACGATTTCTGCGCCGCAAACGTCATTTTGCGCAGGAACAATACCGAATCGGACCAATGAACGAAGCTATGTCAAAACTGACACATCCATTCTGTCAACTAAAACGTCAATGATGACAGGAAAACACTTTGATGAAGGCGATCAGGGAATAGTTTCCAAACAAGAGCTATGGGCATGCTTATTATGCAAAAAAATCGCAATCTAGCAGCTGTTTTTGAATGAGGAAAGCTGGAGTAGCTTAGTCAGAGAACTTCAACTGTATTGCCCTGTTGGTCTTTCATGCACAATATATTGCCAAGAAAGTGCCAATTGTACTTGAAGAAGGTCACCATTGCGACTAAAATTTCGTACCATAAAGATGCATTTTAAAAATGATAATTATTATTATTGACCCAATCTACAAATAAAATAAAGTGAGTAAATAAGTGCAAAACAATGGGTCCAAAGAAGACATTGCCTGTAGATTGACTAGTAATTTTATGTTGCAACTGTATAATAGAGATAATAAATAATTGCCAGAAATACAGTTTTAAATTGAATTTCAAATGTTTGTTACTAATTTACGAATGTCTTTTCTTGCCAAAGAATATACCTCCTACGTTTTCGATTTTTTCTTAAACTAATTTACAGAAACATAAATCTTTTATACTCTTGGTAAAATTACATACAATTTTGGTGCTAAATAGAGATACAACTCCTGCATCACAGATTGATGTGGTTTTGGAACTACGGTTCCACACATTTTGCATCTTGTAAAATGATTATAACCAATTTTTTTATTGATTTTGATAAATTTATGATACTTGGTGATAGTGAGTAAGAAATAAGGCTGCCTGATATCATACATCTGCAGGCCTGAATACAGTTCATTAGTAGGATAAAGTCTGGGTTTATGGAATATTGTCTTTAAAATAGTTTCTTGAAAAATATCTAAATTTATGTACGGATTAAATATGCAGCCCTCCATGATAATATACCATAAGATGTGTAAATGCTTGTGAGATATTTAATTTTATATGACACAAATCGATTTTTTTTAGAATATAAGGAATATGGATGTCACAGCGTACGTCAGAATCATAATCCGATGAATACTATCTCTTTCTAACATATGTGTTTCTGCACACTGCTCGCGCTCCTGTTCGTGCACATTGAACTCAAGCCTTCGGTCAAATTATAATATATAGCAGACGTCTACTGACTAATGTATCATCTATTCTTACATTTTAGATTCACCCAACTTATGATCGAGCCATATACAAAGCGTTCACAACACATAACCTAAAACTGAAGGAAGATGTCATGAAGCAGAAGATTAAGAAACATCCGAACGAGACTTTCAAAAAGTGGTGCACAAGCTTAAGCAAACCCAAAAAGATGCTGTGGTTCGTGGAGAATGAATTAAAGCAAAATTTCTCATTATGAACTACGTGAACAAATATGTGTATCCTCTCAAAGTATACATACATAGTTGATAAAGTCTCATATATCTTTTGTAGGAATAGAAAAGCCTTGTTATTTCCTACGCATAGTTGCAAGTGAGTATTGTGATCGTAAAAAAATGCATCACGAAAAACGATGTCACTCTTTCCCGTCGGTTTGTCGGTCTATGGTCCGCCTATAACTTGGAAGGTACTGCTCGGATTTGGGTAAAATTGTTACACAAGGTTACTACTATGTCAAGGATAAAACAGCTATGTGGAAATAAAAGTTAGGATCCTAATCATTTTTGAAAAGTTATGTAGGGCTAAAAAATTGCGGGGAGGTTTTACGAGTGTATTCGCAGCATGTTGTTTTAAGTGCGGTAAATAGACAAGTTCAAATTCATCAATCAGATGCGTTTTTGTCGGATTAGCTGTTATTTGGCGACGCAACAATAAAATGAAAAATAATTGAGATGGAGCAAATGGTAAGTTGAACCTCATTTATTTATTTAAGAAAATAGTAATCATGAATATTTCTGTAAAAATTTTAACACTATTATAGGAAGTACAATGCAGGGGCATTCATATTCACACACATATCAGAAAAATCTTCATTATAATCTTGAATTAAACAACGCAACGAAGCGTTCTCGTACAAAAATGCAAAATTTGCCGCTCCCCTTGGATTATTCTGTACAGTTTGAAAAGCTCTATGTTCAGATTCTGCAGAGTCTAAAATTTCGAAAAATTTGTTATCACTTTCTGATTAATTCACATTATTTTCTAGCACTGGCATCCAACCTTTTCGGTACTAAAAATACAACGTAAATGATGGGATTATATTCGCTTTGGTGTGAAGCTTCATCCAGAATCCGCCATGAAATTCGCTGCGGATTCTCCGTCACGAATCAGGTGCGAATAATTCGCGTTGGCATGGGGGAGCCTTTAACTTTGAAAATATCTCCAGCAGACAAATCGCATACGTATCGGTCGCATATTTCATCTTTGGTTGGATTCGAGATTTTTGCAGGTTGCAGACGCGTTATGCAGATACGAGCTGGTTGCTATATCTATATACGCGGGCTGTCCGGTAAGTACTAATTCTACAAAAGTACATGCAACATAGTCTCGTTTCAGCTCGATACACTTGACCCAGCGATGCTTCTTTAACCCATCTGAAAAATATGTTTTCTGGAGATCTACAAAGTTGGCCTCCGTGGCGGCGATAACCTCCTCATTCTACTCAAATTTCTGCCTGGCGAGTGGCTTTTCAAGTTTGGAAACAAAAAGAAGTCGCACTGGGCCAAATCGAGAGAATACGCTGGATGAGGCAGCAGTTCATATGCTAGTTCGATCAATTTGGCGGTTTCGACGGCGGAGGACTGAGCCGGTGCGTTGTCATGGTGGAAGAGCACTTTTGTCTTCGCTAAATAGGTTTTTTTTGCGACGTCGAATTGGCCCAATAGTTCGGCACAGTAGAGCCATTTGTCATTCTCCAGCTAGTCGATGTTGATCACACCTTGTGAATTGCAGAAAACGGTGGCCATCACCTTTCCGGCCGATAGGACAGTTTTCGCCTTCTTCGGAGCACGTTCGCCAAGTGAAGTCCATTATTTTAACTATTCCTTGGTCTCTGGTCTGGTCAGTGGATCCATGTTTCGTCGACGGTGACGAAACGACGCAGAAACTTCAGTTTGCGCTTAAACAACGACTAACGCTGTTCTGGAGTGGTCTCACGGTTGCGCTTGTTGTCCGGAGCGAGCAAACGCGGAACCCATCGCGCAGCATTGTCAAGCCCAATGTTTCACGCAGGATATGACCCATGCCTACTGTCCCAGCTATCTCGCCCAACTTCAATCGGCGGTCTGGAACTACAAGATCGTCGGCTTTTATCACGCTATCCACCGTGGTAGCCGTTTTCGGGACACGTGGGTGACCACGTTGAAACTCATTAAACCAATTTTTGACGATCGACATCGACGGAGAAAAGTCACCGTACACTGCGTCCAAGCGCTCTTAATTTCGCAGTTCGATTTCCCTTCCAAGCACAAGAATCGAATCACCGACCGATATTGCTCCTTTTTCATTCTTCTAAAATTGGCGGACACGCCCGCTTCCACACGCGGTCAAAACAAAACTTCGAGTCCGATTTGGCTGAAATTTTGACAGCAACGGTCTACGAGAATGTAATGCACGATAGTAAATTTCTCTTGCGATAGTGACGCCCTCGGGAGGAGAGGCTAAGTACTTATCGGATCGCTCTTGTATATACGAGTATTTTGCTTGCAGTGTAATTTAATAAGGTTGCTTGACTTCGTGAGGTAACATAGTTCAGTATATATACAGGGTGTCCGCAGAGTTGGGGTTTTCCTTTACACGACGTGTAGATCTTGACAACATAAGCAATTTTTCTTAGTACCATATACACCAATGTCTTAAGGGAACCGAGATAAAGGGCTCTGCAACATCAAAAATATCTGAATATCGTCCTGTAGCCGCGACATCCCCGAGTGGTACTAGGACACTAGCTCAACCCGACGACAGAACTGGGTCGGGGTCACTGTGTCAGGTCAGTATGCAACCTTCAACCGACGCTTACTGTCACGCGTGTAGAGGTAATCGCGTAGACGAGAATCCCTCAACAAGCACTAGAGACGGGGCTAGAGAAGTGCAAGTATCAAAAACTAAAGTGTGGCAAACGCTGCGGGAAGCGGGGCTGTGTCCGTTTCACGTCCAACGTGTACAAGCCCTTCAACCTGACGATTTTCCAGCAAGAGTGCGGTTTTGTGAGTGGTTGTTGCATCAACTGGGGAGTTAGTACTTTTTCCTTTATTTTTTTTACTTGGTCGCCCTCGTTTCACTACACATTACCTTTGTTATTTCAAGGGTAGTTGTTTCTGAAAAGGAAAACCCCAACTTTGCGGACACCCTGAATATATATATATATATATATATATATATAACAAAAATAGGAAAATAATGGGCAAAATCCGCAAAAAGTGGATTTGAGCAGAATAGGATAGGTAAAACGAGCGATACGTATTTCTGCTGGTTGGCTTCATCAGGCCCGAAATGAATGCACATATGCAACTACAAAAGTAGAGACACATGCCCATACATCCTTCCTGATGAAGCCAACCAGCAGAAATACGTATCGCTCGGGTTACCTATCCTATTCTGCTCAAATCCACTTTTTGCGGATTTTGCCCATTATTTTCCTATTTTTGTTATATACCTTTCTCCGCATGATAATTTACTCTTTATATATATACTATATATATTTAATACAATTTCACATAATTTCAAATTTAATATAATTTAATTTAATTTAATATATTTCACATAACCCATCTTTTCAAGCGCGTATCACCATCTTACACTCGTATACTCATATGAACACACACTTTTTTGAGAACAAATTAATTCAGCAATTTGGTAATTAGGTTGAGGTTTTACCGAGCGTCCCTCGTATACATTACACCTGAAATTTGGCAATGATGTTTACAGTTCCACATTATTTCGCGACAATCACCTGTCATCTGTCGATCTGTCATCATTCTTCCGGTCCGCTGATCTTCTCCACGTGAAGCAGGTGTAGGAGGTTAGCAGGGACGTTCCGGTTTTTGTCGCCAAAATCGCTTTTCGTTAATTTTTAATGTGTTTGGGTGTATTGATATACAGTGTTAACACATAACGATGGTTTCCGTCGTTATCAATAAGCCCAATGTATCCGTCCGGTTAGTTTTATATTTGCAACAAGTGCTATCATCCCCGCGTTCGTGTTGAAACACCATTTGGCTGCAACCTCAACGACGAGTAAGTTGTTTTACAATTTAAAACTTTCCTGTATTGGTTGCTAGCATCATAATTGTGTTTTCAGCTCCTGAAGAAGGCTCCATAGAGCTTTGCCGAAAGCTTGAGATTACCGTTAAAAGAGTTTACTCAAGCCTAAAAAAGTTTGTCAATTTCCCAATTAACAATTAATTGTATTCTTTGCCCAACTGGTCGTTGGCAATGGCAATGACTACGGATCATATATATACATATATATATATATATATATATATATATATATATATATATATATATATATGTATATATATTACGGTACTGCATGTATGAAAATTGTAATAACTGAGTACGTAATTGTCACAGAATGATAAATTTGGTGTCATTTGAACGATGAAATCTTGTGCTAGCGGTTATTGAAAAACTTATTATGATATTAACTGTCAAACATACTTAAAAACAGACAAAAACAGAAAAAAATATGGTAGAAAATTGATTATTTTGTGCATTTCCGCACACCATTCAAAAACTAGTCTGTGAAGTTGTACTTTTTTGTGCTAATTCTACAGCTTTTTGTTAGCCTAAGTATTCTACGTTAAGCAATAAATGCTATCTAACATGGGTCAAAATCGGTGTAATAAATTGCAAATTGTTTCCAAACTTTTTATACATAAAAATGGCAAATCAATGTTTCTTATAGAGAGTTTGGACATGTTTAATGTTACAGAAACTGTTCAAAATGTCCTTCATTATTGGTTATGCACATTGCTGTTTTTAAAACAATGTGTCGTGTTGAGCGGCAGACCATATCCGTGTCAGCCCTAATTTCGTTCGCAGTGGTATGGATCCATTTCAAGGGGGGTGAGGTATGACATTGTAGGAGGTGGATTTGTCGATAAAAATAGCTGAAAAATATCTCCCTCAAATATCGGTATGTCGTGATCAAACACATTGTATATATATATATATATATATATATGTATTATATGAGTACTTATCACCAGCTAGAATAGGTTTTCAAACATCGTTGGCAAACAGCTTCACACCAGAGCCTCAAAGAAATTACGGTGCCTTGTACGGACTGGGCCATTGCTGCAATATGAGAACATTTTTTTCATGGTATGCCCGATGGTTCTGATCAATCCTCAGTCTTGTTGTTCCATTGCGCTATATGGAACTGTACGATAACTGGACGTTATTTCGAGGGCCTGCGAAGTAGAGAGTCATTCTACTTGACAGCATTTTTTTATTGTCGTACGACAAATCCTGTTGGTAATGATCTTCTTGAATATCCGGCTCTAGTGATCAATAA